CATCACTTCCTGTCTCGCTGTTTGAGACACCCCTTCCTGTCTGACATCACTTCCTGTCTCGCTGTTTGAGACACCCCTTCCTCTCTGACATCACTTCCTGTCTCGCTGTTTGAGACACCCCTTCCTCTCTGACATCACTTCCTGTCTGTCCCACTTACTGGTTTGCTGGTTGTTGAAATCATCTGTTGGTTTTCCATCACTTCCTGTCTCGCTGTTTGAGACACCCCTTCCTGTCTGACATCACTTCCTGTCTCGCTGTCTGAGACACCCCTTCCTGTCTGACATCACTTCCTGTTGGGCAGGTATAAACAATAAACATACCTGTGCTCAGGGCGCTTAGCATGGGATTATCGAGCAAGCAGCATCTGTCTCCTGACTCTACATGACTCTATAGAAGGCGGGACTTCCAGTCCTCGCATAAAGGAGCGCAGTACAACGGGGGGAATTCTTTGCGTTTGGCGCAGCTTAATGCGACATGGATTTGTCCGCTGAACCAAGCGAATTTCCATAACACCTGGCAAAATGCCTGCGCTATTATGTTGCAGATCGTCTTAACAATGACCCTGGTTGGAAATCAGACGCTAGTGCACCGGGCGAAGGGGAGCACAAAATGATGGATTACATCAGAAGACAGAGAGCACAGCCTCATCACTGCTTATGCGGAGCTGACGCTGATCTTATAATGCTTGCACTAGCTACTCATGAACTAAGCTTTACAATCATAAGAGAAGAATTTAAGCCTAATCAACCAAGACCCTGTGCATTGTGCTCACAAGTTGGACATGAACTGAAGGACTGTCAGGGTTTGCCCCGTGAGAAGAAAGGCGAGCATGATGAATTTGCAAACACCCCACCTGGCTCTGAGCAGGAGTTTATCTTTATTCGGCTTAATGTGTTGCGCGAGTACCTAGAGAAAGAGTTGACGATGTCAAGCTTGCCTTTCCCGTTCGACTTTGAAAGAAGTATTGATGATCGGGTTTTCATGTGTTTCTTTGTTGGAAATGACTTCCTGCCCCACTTGCCCTCTCTTGAAATCAGAGAGGGCGCCATTGACCGTCTTGTGACCATTTACAAGAATGTCGTCCACAAGACTGGGGGCTACCTTACAGAGAGCGGATTTGTGAACCTGGAGAGGGTGCAGATGATCATGCTGGCAGTTGGAGAGATCAAGAAGAGGAAGGAAGAGGATGAAGGCGGAGAAGAACCCGACTTTTATTCCAACTGGCCAGTTTGCTCCTCATGCCCTAGGTCGGGGCTCCTCATCTGTCCCTCAATCCTTAAGCAACCCAAGGCAGGCAAAATATGAACTCCAATGACAAAGAAACCCAATCAGGACCAAAAAGGAAAGCAAATGACAGTGAGCCCGAGCCGGAAGATAATATCAGAGTGTGGGAATCTGGTTGGAAGCAGCGTTATTATAAAAACAAGTTGGATGTTGATTCTACTGATGAGGAATTTCGTCGTAAGGTTGTACGGTCTTACGCGGAAGGACTCTGCTGGGTATTACGGTACTACTACCAGGGCTGTGCCTCTTGGAAGTGGTTCTTCCCATTCCACTATGCTCCTTTCGCTTCGGACTTTGAAAATATCACGGAGCTTTTTAAGGAGTTTGAAGTGAACACAAAACCATTCGAGCCATTGGAGCAACTGATGAGTGTTTTTCCAGCTGCTAGTGGCAACTTCCTGCCTCCTACCTGGAGGCGCCTTATGAGCGATCCCGAGTCAAGTCTAACTGACTTCTACCCTGACGACTTTGCACTTGATTTGAATGGCAAAAAATATGCCTGGCAAGCTGTTGCTCTATTGCCATTTGTTGATGAGCGGCGGCTAAGAGTTGCTTCGGAAGAGGTTTACCCTGACCTCACTTCTGATGAAATGCGGAGAAACAGCCTTGCAGGAGACCATCTCTTTGTTGGAAAAAACCATCCCCTCCATGAATTCGTACATGAGCTCTACAGGAGCAACCTACTGACATTCCGCCCGAACTGTGCCATGGCATTCAAGGCAAAATGGATACTGATGAAGGAGCCATTCTTCCAAACATAACTGTGGAATCTCCAGTTCCTATGTTACGGAGTGTGACACAGAATTATTCGATTAGTATAACATTTCAAGACCCGCAATATACAGATGGCTATGTTTTCAAAGCGGTGGTTCTGCCACGAGCAAAGAAACCACCAATAACATTAAAACCTGGAGATTTTGAGCGAACGAACAACAATGGCAGGCCGTGGAGACCACGCCTTGGCTTCAATACTGACCGTAAGCCAGTCCACTTGCAGCAGTCTGCTTTCAGGACATTGGGGCATTCCTTCCCACAAGCCCGAGGGCACCAAAGAGATGGACTGTACAGCAGTGCCCCACCACCTGGAGCTTATAACCCTGTAAATGCATACCGGATGCCCATCCTCCACCAGCCACCATTGTACAATGCTATGCCAAACCCCAGAGTGCAAAATGCATGGACTAACCAGCAGCCACCACAAAGACATTATGGGCACAACCCAGCCCAACATTATTCTAACCCTGGACATGGTGG